GACACGTTGATGAAGACAAAGTAAAAGACGGCTTGCAAGTTAAGGCGACTTTTTTTCCCTTTCTGTTTGTTCACGGTAAATTTTGCATATAAGTTTTTATCTCAAAAGAGCATTTATTTCGGAATTTTTAAATTCACGAAGAGCAGCACTTGTAAAATTTTAATGTTATTGGTGTTATTGCTGTCGTTATGATTCTGATCATAACAGCAAAAATATTTGTTTCTTGTCAGTTTCAAGCGATCATCATTCATTGATTTTTCTTTATGATTTCACAGATTTGTCAGTTTTCTTATAAATTTATCGAAGTCTTACTGGTTGTTGCTGCTGCTGTTTAAAAACCACGAAGAAAAAGTGCAGAACTTGTTGTAAAATAATCACCGATAAAAGAATTGTCAAAATGAAAGAATTTTTCCAATAGTTACTTTACAGGTGTACGTTTCCTAGCAGAGAAGGGAAAAAGTGGGATGTGTTAGCTGCTTTTCTATGTAACTTTTGCTTTTTGAACATGAATAGTAAAAAATAAGATAAACATTTACCGCAGGTTTATTTTCAGTTTCAGAACGCAAACTTTCTTGGGCAACACCTGGTGATTTTTGTATTCCGTCAGTTTTTGGTGTTGAAATTTCATCCTCATTTTCTTCAACGATCTTCTGACGTTTCGCTTCAATTTCACGTCTGGCTTCTTCTTCTTTTAGTGTTTTTTCTAATTCCATTATACTTTTACGGTGTTGTTGTTTGAGCATGTCAAATTCGTCTTCTAAACATCAAATTTCTCTTCAATTTTAAAAACTTCTTTACGGACAGTAAAGATGTCAACTGGATAATTAAATTTACTGAAAAGTGGTGACATCAAAAAGCCGGAAAATACCAACCAGAATGTTCGAATTTGACCATCGCAGAACTATGTGCTTCACCGTAATCACTTTTTGCAGTACATTTAAATAAACCGCTTTTATCTTCGGTCATACGTGGTATTTTTAACCGGGCAATTTGACCATCAAAGTATGTCTGGAATTCTGGGGATGGATCTATTGCTCGTCCATCTCTGCAATATTTTTGCTTCAGTTTTGAATAACCTTACCAGAGAACTTCCAATAATATCATTTTTTTCTTCTGGTATGAACCCCTGTTAATTAGAAATAAATTGGCAGTATTGATTTAACTTAAATTTTTTAGATTTGGTTACCACTTTATACAAAGAAATAAGACCTTGATCAAGCTAGTTTTATTAATACTGCCGATAACCTAGTCGATAACTTGTCACTAAAGTTTACTGCTAGAAAAATTTCTTTTTTGGTTGGTTACTTCTCCTATTAAAATACTCAAAACCAGACAGTACTTTTTTCACTTGATTATTAACTAGGTATCATTCAAGCAGCAAACAAATTTCTCACTTAAACCAGGTAATTTTTGTTGACGGGTCACATTGAAGCTCGCATTCTAACGTCACTGACTCTCCTTCATGAGCTACCTACAAAGAACTACATCAGTGCTGCATTACTTGAGTCTTTACTTTTCTTTGCAACTGATCTTGTTTCACTGATTTTGCTTTAATTACAACAGCTTAAGTGCAGTTCTATTAAAACCTATCAAAGAAAAAATGACCATAGCACATGGTTCTTTAAGAACAAATAGTTCTGTAAAGTTAACGTTCTTTCTAACGTACTTGTGACTTTGCTGCTTCCAAAACTACAGGTGCTCTCTTATAGCTAGTTCGAGTTTTTTCGTTAGTTCGAATGTCGAAATCGCTAGCTGAAGTTGCCGTTGATGCTTTTGCCGCTGCGGCTCTTGTGGTTGCTGTAGGTGCTGATGATGGTGGTGGTGCTGTTGCTTCTGCTGGTGCTGCTGCTGTTGCTGCTGCTGACTCTGCTGCTGCTGTAGTAGTTGTTGTTGTTTCTGCTGTAGCTGCTGGTGGAGTCGTTGGTGCCTTTTCAACTGGCTTTGCCTGCTGTTGCGCAGGTGGACTTCCACTTTTCAATTTCTGCCTTTTTTCATCTGTTGGAGGCAGAGCAGCATCACTTTTGCGTTTTATACTTCCTGTAAAGTATTCACCAGAAATAGCCCAGATACATTGAATAAATTTTAAGAGTATCTAGCAACTTTTAACTGATTTGCAGCTGACTTATCAGTTGACAAACTTTAATTAACGCTGATTACTGTCACCTAACTCAAATATTTCCTTGGACCAAAACAAAAAAAAAAAAAGAACAAAAAAGTATAAGAAGTCGAAATTTTTTTTATTCTCAATCTTTTTATGCTTTAAGTGTCATTATTAATGTGAGCAATTTAAAATATGGTAATTTCATAAAATCTGCTTTCTAAAAGCTTTTATTCTTTTTGAATTTTTTAATTTTAAAAAACTAAAACTTGAGTCGTTTCTTACAATTTAGGGAAATTCACCTTCTTCAGCTTTCATCGTTTTAGTTTCACCGGTGACACCATTTTGCTTTTCTATTTCTTGAGTTGGGGTTGCTGTACGCGAACGGATTGACTTTTTTGGAGTACCCTCGCGTGATTTCAAAGATTTTTTTGGAGTACCTTCTCTTGACTTTAACTGTTTCTTAGGTGAACCTTAAAAAATGCTATTAAGAACGATAATGTTATTTGATTTGTTTGAAATAATATGGTAAAAATCCAATTTTACTTATTGTCGTTACATGCCTGAGCCTAATAAAAATTCCAAGAGATATAATTTTTGAGGCATTACCAGCTGCTTTTGTCAAAAGGCATTCTGCATTTAAATACAAAAGGGATTACCAGGCCGTGAGCCATGCCTAGGAGACGCAGAATCTTTTTCTCTCCGCTGCCTTGGCGACTTTCTGCCTGGAGTCTCCTGAACTTCGGCTTCTTCTTGTTCAAAGTTTAGAGCCAAATTTGCATTTGTTTCGCCTTCGTCATTTCTTATATTACATCTGTAGTGTCCGGCATCACCCGCGGAGGGGCCCTAAATTTGGTGCATTTGTAGTTTAACTAAACAACGCAGTTGCTCAGGGAGACAAACTGTACTGACCTTTTAATTTTACTGTAATTAAACCTTTAAAAAATTTTGTCTTAACGCTGTTTTAAACGCTATTTTTTGCTCTGAAAGAAATTGAAGTTAACAGATTTGGTTTCAACCACAATCTGCTGAAGAAATTCTTTTGACAAAAAACTTTCGGAATAGCGTTTGCAGATATTGAGAGGAAAATGCTGATTAAAAGTTCATGTTTGCGTAATGTAAAATTTTACATTTTGACAGCAGGTATTTGAAAGCATAAACAACATTTATTTAGGCATCAACTGTTTATCATACTTTTCTTTCTCGTGAATTTTGTATTCAATCGAAACAGATAAAAAGAAGAAGAAAATTGTGCTTCACACAAGTTTTGCCTTTTTTCTAAAAAATATTGTAAAAAACTGCGTTTTTTTAATCAATTTTAATTTCCAAATACGGTAAATTAAACTGGTAACAAACAAGACATTATTCCAAATGAAAAGAGAGAGGCCTACCCGAATTTCTAATTGTAACAGATAAACGGAATCTCCGAGATCTGCAGAAACAAAAGCATATAGAGATCCTTCTTGGATCGGTACACCATCTTTATACCATGTTGCCACTGGTTTAGATGGACTTTTTACACGACATTCCATTAATATCAGAGCACCTCCATCTTTGGGAATAATTCTTGGCTTACTGACAAAAGCAGGTCCTTTTGCAGGAGCTTTTTGCTCATCTCCACCGCCTTAAATATTTATTATTCTGATTTATTCTGATTACTACAGTCGCAGCATTGTTTATAAAAATCGATTTTCTGATCGAGAAGATTAAAGATTGACCAAAGATGTAATTTTCTTTTCTATTTTTTCAAATGGAAAGTAAGGTTTTAGAATAACTTCACTTTTACATTCTGATAATCTAGACGTTCATTGTTACGAATATACTGTTACAAGTAATAAAAAAAGATAAAATTTAGTTCTTCACAGCCAGCATGATAGAATGCATGTTCAGCATTAAATAGTCATCTTTGGCTTTTCTATTCTTTGAGGAAATTAGAACATCTTTATTCCTAGCAAACGACATAATGTCACCACCTCGATTGTTGCTAGGAAAGGGTAAAACTTGATTATTGGGATGTTTGGTCTGAACAACTAGGGTAGCTAGAAAGTAGCAAAATCTATTCTTTGACGTAATTGGTCTGGTAAGATTTTTGTACCCTACGAGCACCACAAAGTTTAAGTTATTTTAAATGTTGCATCTCTTATTAAAAAATTTACTTGTATTCTATCACAAGCCATCTTAGGATGATAACTTTTGTTTTCTGAACTCTATCGATGGTTTTTTTTGTTCCTGATCTATTAGTTTGTGTTTTGTCGTGTAGGAAAATAGAATATTTGTAAAGAAGCGAAAGAGTGAAATCTTTTGCGTGTGAAGATTTCAACGTTCAGCACTTCACAACGATTATAAATTTTGATCTGCTAATCGTTTTACTTGCTCAGTTTCACACAATTCATTCGCTAGGTCTCTAAGCTGTTCTTGCTGAGACAGTTTCCAATGTTTTTCAGAACCAAGCAGCAACCGATATCAGCTCAAATAAGAAAAATAAAGAGGAAAAAAGAGATCATACTTTTGAATCTAAATTGGCAGTAGTTTTTTCTTTGAGACGTAGTTTTTTTTGGGTTTTCTATCCTAAGAGGTTGTTTGGCACACTGTATCAATGAAATGAAAGAGCGATTCAGACAGATAGATTACAGTTGTCTAGAAGTGCAATTGAGCTGATTTCATTTCTGTTCTCTTTCTTGTTCGTTGCATTATTAGCATAACATTTAGAATGAAGTGATTGATGGTTGGCGAGGAGAAAGTTGAAAAAAAAAGCATAAAAAAGAGCAAAATAGTGAAAGTAAAAAATGGAAAAAAACTGCACAATAGTTTTTGTCTTTGAAAAATTTTATTTTGAAAGCAATAAAATTTCCTGACGTAAGCAATTTCACCGAAAAAATTGAAAAGACTGTTTTTTCCAGTATGTTTTTTCAATGAATAAATTGTTTTTCTATTATTCACTTTCTTTTTTACACTAACTGTAATCGTTTTTTTATTCTGAGAGTATTAGTTGAAAGTCTCAGGTGCATCTAAAATTGATAAAGTTTTTTGTTTTTATTTCTGCTGTATTTGTGACAATGAGTGAGCAGTATAAATTAAGTTTTCCTCCCAAATAAAAAAAATAAAATTTTGATTTTTGAAAAACCGAAAAATCAAGAAGAATAGGTAGAAAAAGAAGTAAGAGCTAACCATAGATTGGAACTTTCTTCTGTTATGCATATATACGCTGTTGCAAACAAGGTTACAGAATTAGAAACTCAACTGTATAACTTCTTAGGAATAATGGTATGACTGAAAGCAATCGAAAAAGGGCAGCAGATGAGAAATAAAAGGGTTGATGAGAAGTACTAGCAAATTATAACCTAGTTAGCATAAAAACTACTATATTTGATAACTAAAACAACTGGTTTTTTTGCTAAATACCTGTTTAATCTCCAAATAATAACTGATTTATTATGCTCTGCAGTCATTTTAAAGTTTCTTTTTTTATAACTTGATTTGAGTCTTTATTGTATTTCAATTTTAATTTATTAATTTCTTTGTGTTTAATTTTAGTAAATTTTTGATTTTTGTAGTTTAAGCTTCAATAAGATAAGGTTGAGTGAACGTTTGAAAGACTAGTTGTAGCAGCGTTTCAAGGCAACGGGGGAGGGGTTATCAGTGGCAAAGGAAAAGAAGCCATCAAAGAAGTTGAAGGCAAGAAAAATTACTTTTGAAGAAGGAATAAACAAAATGGTTCTTATTCTCGATTACATTACATACATAGCAACAAACTGTTGTATTTTGGCATCAAAAATCACTGTGAAACTTAAGCTATTCAAAAAAAAAAAAAAAAAAAAAAAAAAAAAAAAA